GTTCCAAATGTGAATTTTATTCCAGTGCCAGCAAATGTGCTCAGCCCAGGACTCAGAGTTGCATGTACATGCAAGTCTCAGTCCTGGTGACATGAACCGGCGCACACAGTAGCACAATATGCATTGCGGTGAAATGCAGCATTTCGTTCTATTCTCGTATGTGAGTGTAGATCTGTACATACTTTGATATTATATTCCGCAAGAGCTAAGCTACTGACCAGCGAAATGCAAACAACTGTGCATGAATCGTGAATTCTTGTTATACTCCAGTACTGGCAAAAATTGAAAGAACATGCTTGGCAACTCTGCAAGGGAGTAAGATCACTTGCACATATTTCTGCAGCGCATACGCACGCGGTGCATCTCAATGACCGATTGCGTCAGCAGCGATTGAGTTGAGATGGAATGTGTTACTGAATTGGCGTGTGGGCATCAGTTGATGGCACATTTTTCTTCTGATAGATCACAAAAGCTCCAGAGGATACCGAATGACCAATCAAAATCTCTCCCAGCTTTTTCATTTGTCCGTAGCGTACAAGAATTTTGCATCCTCACCATATGAGACCGCTGAAACGCTACCGTCTGTAGGGCAGTTTGCCAGAAACAATCTCAAACCAATCTGGAATCTGGATCGAAAGATTGGTTCTCGATGTTCTAGCCGTTAAAAATCGGATTTGCGACATTGGCAATTTATTGGCGCGTGGCTGACCGTCTTATTTCACGCTGCTCCCAACCGTCGGAAAAGGTCCAATCCTGTCCCAATATCAAAGTCTGCTTCCTGAATGCATATGCAGCATCAAAAGCAGTTCCGGCTCTGCAGACAGGCGGAGTATATTACGTAGACGTACGCCCAGAAAAGGAAGTAAACCATCATTGACACAAACGCGATTTTAGCAAACATGAGCTCCCTCTTCGTCCTGGGGACTCGAAACGCCATTGGACACCAAATGAATGGCACAGCGAGTCCGAGAAGGTACACACGCCAGCTAGAGTGCCAAGGCCTGACCTCGTCTCCCGCGTCATCGCGCTGCTCCTCCTATGGGAATAACAAACTCGGGGCTTCCAATTAAAATAAAATGTGACCAGCCAAGCGCAACGCATTTGCCACCAACTCCTGGCCCACGTGTGTGCCTTGAATCTCCCAAGAGTTATTGTGGCGAAGCGCGTGTGTGCAATGGGGCCCGCATATGCCAGTGCAACCACTGGTGTCTGTGCATATACATAAGTGACTGCACTGGCGGGGACCGCTGCCTCCGCCACACTGCACTTCAGTCATACTCGCGTTCCCGTTTCCTCTGTAGCCTGCACTGCGGAGACCCTTCAGTATAACTGGCAATTCCGCTGTGGTGAGGGCTGCTTTGGAGAGGAACAAAAGTTCCCATTTTTCCATGTTCGCTAAGCATTTTGAATGTCTGCGGTCGCTTTCACGAAGATGCCACAGCACCTACGTACGTGGGGTGTTCGTGCTTTGCTTTGGAGCTGTGATCAATTCATTAATCTATTCACGTCATCAAGTCATCAATTCATTCGCGTTCTCTGAAACTTTCTCCACGGTCCAATACAAAAACCGTGTTTGCACATTGCCTGCCGTTGGGTGCCATGAATTGATGAGCACTTGGTGGTAGCCACCAAGATAGCCAAGTTTGTAGGACCTGTGGTTGGTAAGGCAATACTCGTGTGGCGGATGTCGTAACTGGTTAGGATTCTCCTCTAGCACAGGGCTCTCTTTGGCTTTGGATATAAAAGCAAACAGAGTGAGCCTTTGTGCCATCGTGCCACACCACTGCGATGGAGCCGATAGCATGGCTCACCGAGGCAGTGATGCTCAGCCCCGATTCAACATCCGGCCTTGTATGGTTGCTCCTTCTTTCTGTGAAGAGGCTTTGTTCCTCTGGCACCTGAATAGCGGCACAAATAGCGCACAGCTGATTTCCCCGCGTTTGATCACATACCAAAGTGATGCATCAAATCTGCCCTGGACTAGTCCGCAGTACTGCGGTCGTGCCAAATCCGCACGTGCTAATGCCAACATTGGTGCTAGGATATGTCAACAGTCATTTCCATCCGCATTTCGGATGAATTACAGGATGCCAATTCAAAGGGTTCTTAGTTCGCCCAAGCACTCTGGCGGGCGAAAAATATTGGAGTATTTTAACTTGGGGATGTGCATAACTGGGTCAATGGAAATCTGGCCGTGGACCCTTTCCACGTATGCATCAAACCAATTTCAGGGTTTCAGGAATCTCTGAACCATGTTGTGCTCTGGGCCGAATAGACCCCCATGATTTCCGGGATCCGTAATTTGCGTTGTTCAACGATCCCACACGCCTTCACAAAGTTTTCATGGAGGTTTGCACTCAACACGGTACTAAACCTCGCGACAATGCGGGATATGGTATGCTCGCGTACATCACCCCACATGGTCAAAACTATCTTTCACCCATTTGTGTCTCCATTCCATTCGCGGATGTTGACGCTTTTGCAAGGAATTTACATGTCCACCGTAATCCACTAAAGTTAGCATTTTTATTTATTCCGGAAAAGTGTCTGACAGAATGTCATAATGAGCTATGCCTGCCAGGTTTTAACTACCACAACGATTACAGGTATGAACATTGCAGCTAGACCTTCCTGACCTACCACGCTGCACTGAGCGTTCGCTCTACATAAACGGCCTTGAGAGACACACCTATCATCCCGAAATTTGATTGACCAATGCACGTTGTGGAGTACCAAGTTCGGTGTACAATTTCCGTCTCGGAAACCTGGAGCCCGCTGTTCAAACACGCTCAATGGATACACAGCAACACATTATGCCCACTGTTGCAGAGTCCAGCAGTCCATTGTATGATCATTTTGTGGATGGCGGAGGCAGGTGTTGCTTCAGGAGTGCTGTCACCCAGGGGGATGTGGGCATTACATCGCCTGTCCAAATCAATGGATGATTGTGGCTTTCGCGACTGTCTGCTGCCTAATTAAGCAAAAATTGGCCGCGAATTTGACATTATAATGTCTATCAGTTTGTGAAGAGCCGCTTCCTAAAGTACGCATTTCCACTATGCGTGGTTACTCGATAACGTTTCGCGCAGGCATGTCGGCAGCTTATCCAGTGGATGTGATGTTGGCATGACAGCACGCAGCGTGGAAACTGCATGGCTCTGGCGTGCCGGTGCTCTAATGGGCACCCAAGCAACACTCCAGCGCGCTTTCGCCGCCTTGTGTGTGGTCCAGATTCAAGCCCCGCACTTCTGCTTCAGAAGTTCTGAGGTAGTTCTGGGCCTGCGTCTTGTGACTGACAGCGGTGCGTTCATTTCCTGTGCCCTGGTCCGCTTCGGCTGCTGGCAACATGAGAACCGTGTTGCATCTGCGGAAAATTCCTCTATGCCCTTGCAAAGTGATAAAGCAGCTGACTCGCTCGATTCTGGTTCCAAAGCTGTGCGCCAGCGGATGCCTCCGCGGGACGGCATCCTTGGAACGCGAGCCTCTCGTCCAGTTCCCAGCCACGCAGGTCACACGCGCGACGGACCATGGCCGCCCTCAAGCCACTGCCCGGAAAGCTGCTTGTGCACTGCCTGGAAGGCGCGAAGAGCACCCCGACCATCCGCCTCTGGGCGACGCGCAGATCCACGCGTTGCTCAGTGACGACTGGTCCACGTCGGCGGTCAACAAGGATCCCCAAACGGCTTCGCTCGAGAGCGCGGCCCTGACATCGAGGCATCCCTGGCTTTGGATCGATGCGGCGACACGGCAGTGCCCTACGTTGCCGGCCTCGCTGGGCCAGACGCTCTCCCGCGGCCTGATCCCGAAGAGCGCGGACGTGATGTCAGTGAGCACCGTCATTGCCCGGAAGTCAATCGATCGGCCAGGCAGAATCCCGCCGCCGCGCGCGCCGTGCACGGTGCGCGGGGAGCGGCCGCCCTCGCAGGGGGGCAATCGGTGGCCGAGAGATGGCCCGGCCCGGAGCGTGAGCAGCGGCGCGTGACTTTCCCCCCCGGGAAAGAGGTGGGGTGGTGGGAGGGGGTGCTGGGCAGGGTGGTGTGTTCGCGCGCTGTTCGCTGACCGCCATGGGAGTGAGTGCGTCACGCGTTTTGTGCGCGTCAGCGTCATCTCGAGGCCCACGGGTAATGATTCGTAATGGGGAAGGGCACACATTTAGGCAGTGCCCTAACTAACTTATAGGTCCTCGCGGAGGTGTTTCGAGTAGTTCAACTCCACTTAGTCCAGGCTTGGGCGCGTCACCGCCGAACCGGTGGTGTCCCCCTCGCGGTACCCCCTCGCGATTCTCAGGACAAGTCTCGGGGCAAGGAGAAAGCCTGAGGGCCACTGCGCAGCGTGCGCTGCTCTGCCGGGAGCAGTTTGGGTGGGTCAAATACAGAAGTTGCGGAGAAGACAGTGTGCCTGCAGCCGAGGCGGCTGCAGGGGAGAATGGGGAACGGGACGGGCACGGCGACGCAAACGTTATGCGCTGCATCCACAGCAGGCTGGAATCAACGCTAGAATTCGAGATTTAGGGCGGCGCTTCCGTTGCTGTAGGATGTAAATCCACAGCATGTGCACAGGGCGTTCGGGGGGCAGGGATGCCAATGCATCCCGCTCAAGGGATCGATTTCGGCGCATTCCCGAATTGTAAGAGTCGTCTGGTCGAGTCCAAGGTGTGTCACCAGCCCATCTGGATCGGATGATGGGTCGCGGTGTATTGAACCTGTGTACCGCTCCAAATTGGCTATTGGATGGCGGGAGCGAAAGCAGGGAAACCCAGAACATGGCAGTCGGCCTGGAGTCCTTGTGGGGCCTACTGCACCACCCAGTACCACCCAGTGTAGGGATGAACTATTGAGACAAGTTCTTGACTGTCTCACAAATTGTGGCTATTGTGAGCAAACAGAACGTTCCCTTGCACCCTGTGACAGTTCTTCTTGTAATCATCTGTGCAACTCATCAAGTTGTCAGGTCCATGCCCTGCTTGCCTTACAGGATAGGAAGGTACTTGGCACTGACACATGAGCTGCCTGCCAAGACTGAGGGTGCTGCCTTGCAGTGCCTGTTATTCACTCTCCAGCAGTCGGAATTCAGCCAAGAAGTGAGCACGGATGTCATGCACAGGACAGCATTGGTTGCAACGCAGTTCATTTTTTGTGGGAGACAAACCCTTCCTGTCACGTGTCCATCCCAGTGACTGCTGAACATCTTGTGGAGATGGGCAAAGCAGATGAACCGTTCTCGCGAATGTATCGAACTTGAAACAAACACAGTACACGGGTTCATGTGCATTGATGCAATCCATGAGCATGCAGTTGAGCAACCCTAACTGTCAAGGGGACTTGAAAGTTTCCACCACTTCTGGGGACTCGGCTTGCTGTGCTGTGGAGCAGCATGTCAGTGCTCGTGTTCTGTACAAAGCCCATCACAATGCTCAAAATAGCCTTGTTGCTGAAACGCCCGAATGCACCAAAACGACTGGTTTGAAACCTCTGCACACTCTTGCATGCACCCAAAAATGTGCTGATCATGCCTGGGCTTTGCAAGAATCCTCTTTCATCAGGTACGGATACCTGCAGACCTGTGCTGGGGACCATTGCCCACATCACCAATCTGCTGATGGGGCCTTGACCTTATCATGTGGCACAATTGATCAAAGCGAGGTTTATGATGGTGTAGGTTCCTGCACAGCCCACAGAACCACAAGTGTAGGCTTGTGAGGGTTGCCGCAGCAGCAACTGGGCCCACTCCCACCCAGGACCCAGATCAGGAGGAGGGCCAGGACTACACACCTTGCGATTTTGTAATTTACTGCAAAGATCCCGTGGACACCTGTCACCATGAAGCAGGCATCTGGATCAGTGCTCCCATTGCGAAGTGCTTCAAGATGTGGAACGAGTGGGGCAACCTTTTGCATTTCTTAGATCTGGTTGGAGATGTAAGTGTACTCGTGGCACTGCAAGGGTGCATTGGCGATGCAGCTCTCACTGGGGCATGATGTGCAGCAATTTTGAAGCAACTGAGCAGGATTGTGAGTTATAAACAGAAGTCTGTGTGTTCTGAGCAGATCTGCGATTTGATGTTTGCTTTGCAGATTCACCTTGCCGAGCACAACAAGGACACCCATGCGCTGTTTTTCTGTTATTATCGCTGGGGTAAGGCGTTTGTTTATCTATTTTTCCCATTGGACTGATCCAGTTTTGTCCCATTGTGGACGACTAACAATTGATGTGTTTTCCAGCATTGTACCCCATTCTGGAGATAGCATTTATTTTGGAGAAGGAGGAGGTTGTAGAGAACAAGGTGATAAAGTTTAAGTCTCTGTGGGGCATGCCACTCAAAGGTGAGGACAAACAGGCTCCAGTATGCTTTTTTCTTTCCTGTTGCTCTATAGAGGGAACTGCGGGTCATCTGAACTGTTGCAGGAGATTGTTGCATCTTGCATAGTTGCCAGAAGTGGTGTAATGTTGCATGCATGGCACAGTACCTGTTCAATGTAGGCAGTATCATTCTTGTGTCAGTTCATCTTTTCTTTCAAACTGTTAGTGGGACTGTTTGAGCCTAAGTACTATGCAAAATGATCGGGGGCGTGAGCATTTGTGCATGCTCACGGACAACAGGTTTCCAGCTCTCTTGCCGTGCAGTGACAAGTCTTCTGTATTGTGGAGGCCGAGCGTGCTCCAGGCTTGCTAATCCGCAATTGGTCAACTGCAGGCACATTGTTAGCTGTCCTGCAATTTGGGTCTTTACCCGTGGTGTGTGCCATGTTCACAAACTTCATGCTTATCGGTTGCAAGTAGGGCATTGGGTTGTTAAACAATGGCATTCTTTGAACATTCTTGGGGCCGATCTTTTGGGTGGGTAAATTCTGCAGCATGGACCACAGCATGGGCGAACACTGCAATGGTTTTTGATCCGGTATCAAAGTGCCAAGAGAGCCTTTAATCGCAAAGGCGCCACCTTCGCGTTGCTGACGGCCGACCTTGTGTTGTAAAGGACTGGTGGAGTTTCGGGAGCAAGACGGAGGCACTTACGTGGAGCTGAGGTTCGAGCACCTCATGCCAGTCTTATTCAAGGAATACAAAATTGGCGTCATGGCCGTAGAAAGCGACATGAAGAAGATTCTGTCTGAGAACATGGTCGTTCTGAAGGACATACTGGAAGGCCGATTGGCCATCGACGATACAGACGTCACGTCTGCAGCAGGCAAATCATCCAGCTAGTGACCGCTGTTCTGATCTTTACACATTGCGGGGACACCTGTAAAGAATGCACAGCTTTCTCTACTGACCTGTGGACAATATGCCGTGCTGACCCCCTGCACACTCCGCTGTTTCTTTGCCTATGCGCCTTATCCTGCACCTGCTGAGCAATGCGCTCGCACCTGCTGTTCCTAGATTCCCAATGCGCTGCATGGCACAGGGCCTTATTTGGAGCAAAGGATTATCGTTCCCTCCCCCTCAGCACCGCGTTTTGGCGACCGCAACACCATCAGTTTGGAGTTGAAAATCCTCAACTTTAAAATTGCGGAAATTTGTGCAGCGGACATCAAATGGGTCCCCCTTTGGCCGGTATGAATCCCAGCAGCGGATCTCTTATCATGGGGACAGCGCCCGCCCTGCCGCTGTAGCCCGCATCTTCCAGAACGCAGTCTCGTTGCCTGTCCCGCTGGATGGACGACGCCGACGGCAGCATGAACGACGACGTTCCCGGGGCATCCGCCTCACGTTCGGGGGCGGCGCCCCGCGCCTCGCTTCCCGCTTTCGGTGACCTTCGCTTCTCCTGGCTTCGCAGATTTCTGGGAACCACCACGGACACCCTGGCCGGGCTGCTTTGCTCATCCTCACCTTGCGGCTCACACACCTGTGCATCCACACCGCTGCCCGCCTGCTGTGGCCCCGGGCCGTCCCGCCGTGGCTCCGAGACCCTCCGGCTGCGCCGCCGGCGACCGGCCTTCGCAACGTAGCCGCCACAGGGCGGCGCCCCCGCGTCAGCCTGCCCGTGCGCCGCCCTGGCCTTCGCCCCGCACAGCGACGACTCCCTCTTCGACTTCCAGCACTTCCGGTCCTGCGCCTTGATGGTGCCGCCCACGATGTTGAAGTCCGCCCGCTGGGACTCCCCCGTCGCACCGACCTCGTGCAGCTGGCGAACCTCCGTGACGAAGGGCGTGGCGTCGCAGCCATCGCTCCTCTGCCCGTTCCCTTCCGCGCCCCTACTCGCCCTGTCTGCCTCCTCAGGAATGGGGGTCAGCTTGGCCGCAACGGCCCTTGCGCCACGGGCGTGCCTCCCAGGGTCGACGCTGCCGTCGCCCGCGTCGAATGGGGCCACCACTCCCAGGAGCTCGTCCTCCAGCCTGGACTTGTAAATGATGTCTTCCAGCAGCGCGCGGCACTGCGCGTCGGACAGGAGGTGCGTGCCTCGCTGAATCTCTGCGGTCGAGACACACCGACCGCCGGTCAGTCAATTTCCCCGCGAGGAGACAACGGGCCGTCGGACGACGACTTCCGCCAATCCTGACGTCTGCGCTGCGTCCATTCGTGCGGATTCGGGACACATCGTCAAACGGTTGAACTCCTTGCGCCAAGAACCGGTGTCCCAATCAGGCCCATTTCACGGCGTAGCCACAGCGTGAATTGCGTTTTGCGAGTAGAATAGCATTTACGGTGGTACGAGCTAAAAAAAGACTAAAAATAGCCATGTCTGTGTTTTTATGTTTCAGCGCTTGAAAACGTGAAAACGGTGCCGTGCGCGTAAATAGCAAGCCTGGTCCGATGCAGTCCAATGTCTGGGTCCATTCACGAGAACTGCAATGTAGGCCTGTTCGAATTCATGCACAATTCGTTCCTTCATAACCCGTTGTGTGATTCAGCTAATTAGGGTCGCGTTGATCGGCACAGGGAATGCAAGTCCAGGGCGTGCAGACAATCTTGTATCACATGTGTCCTGGCCGTCACCCAGTATGCAAGAGGCATGGTCCGCGCCTTAGTCATCGTTGGAAAACGCTGGCGACACAGACATAGGATTCGTTGAACGATCTGGCGTGGCGCAGCAAGGTCAGAACTCGTATTGCCAGAACAGTCGGGATTCAAGAGACAGCAACGTCATACACCACGAAAAGGATGCATTAATTTTGGGACAGTTCCAAAAAGCTGCTTACAGATGATTGCAAAACGATACTCTTTGCAAGATTTCTGGTGCGGCAGTGTGACCTGCAACTCCATCGTGTCAACGTCAGGGCTTGATACATTACTGGTCTGTTGCGCAAATTTACTTAAAAAAAAGGGGCTGCCAAAAGGGGCTCATTGCGTGCACAGACATGCGCTGGTAAAGCCGCCGTCGCGTTCTAAGCACAGAATGCAACATTATGTTACATCACCGCAATGATTTGGCAGCAGCAAGTGCAGCTGCGCAATAACTTGTAAATATACTCCGAATGACTACGAATCATCGCCGATCTGGAGACCCCTATGTACCTCTTCGAATCGCCAGGACGCGCTCAGAGGCCAGTTGCTTCCTCTCCTTGATGTCCCTCCACCCTTGCCTCAACATTGCGCGATGTGATTTGGAACCATTCCTGGCGCCGCACCGAGGCATGGGCACCTGGCGCTTGGCTGCCAAAGCTGCGTGCGGAGAGGAGAGTGTTGTGAGACACGACATTGCGCAAACAGCGAGCCCATTCACATGCAATGGCTATCACAACGACTGGTGGAGAGGAAATTTCGAAATGTGCATCCACTTTTGCGACCATCTCAAGGATCTGAGCGAAATACCAGTGCCAAGGGGCCCCATGACAATCACCAACTTGCTGCGCGTCCGCAGGCAACAGCTTTTGTTGTTATCAATCAAAGATCAGCCCGATGCCGCTGCTATTTATCGATAGGCTTGATCATCTGGGCTGCCTCTCATGTAGGTCAACCCGATTACCCTTACCATTAGACGAGTTCCTGCCTGCCCGCGTTCGCTGGTTCTAGCAATTCTGGCGCTTTCCAAGCGAGGAAACGAATGAAATCCAGCCAGGATGGAAAGGTGCATAAATAACGCTGCGAAACGCTGCAGGTGGCGCTGCTGCCCTGTCTCCCCGGTAACGGCATTTTGCCCCCTATGCCTATGGCCAGGATACAGGCAGCTCAGATAAAGGCGTGTGCTGCATGTGCATGCTGACTGCAATGATGTGCTGGGATCGTCATTTCACCCCTACCAAAAATTTCAGCACCCGGCTTGCTGTCGCAAAGCGCGGACCCACACATCACAGTGGCACATCGAGACCGGCCACGGTTCACTATGCGAGACTCGCCTGGCGGGCAGCACACCGTCGACATGCAGTGAACGGGCTGCAGCAGGACCCTCCAAAATTGAGGGGATGGGCTCCGGCATGGATCCGCAATCATGGCTGCCGGGAACATGACGCGGTTCGAGATGTGGCAGGCCTCGCGGCCCCGCGAGTCTGGACCGTAGACTACGTCCTGAAGATCTGCACTCTCGATATCGTTATCAGAGGGCCTGCAGTCACCCTCGCCAGAGGTGCCGCCCCATTGGCTCGTGGAAGTTGCGTCGGTGGTCCTCGAGACAGCGCCGCTGGAATCTCGTTCCAGAGGATGCTGTTCTCTGCATGACGTGTGAGTCTTTGTTGACTAAAATTGGCAAAGTACATGACAGGCCACTGCTCATTCACCTCCAGTGCAGTGCCGTTGTCAGCTAGCGAGCACAATGATTCCTCAAGTTTGATGCGTGCCTCGTGAATTCGCGTTTGCATTGTTGTATCTCTGTGCAAGGATGTTGCGAGTCGCTGCAGGATATTATGCCTTGCCAGTTCTTCAATTCGTTTGCTGTCGAAACTGGGATTGAGTAATGCTCGTCATGTAAGTTGCATCCGAAGCCATCACCGCGGTAATTTTTTGGTATTTCGATATTGAAATACCAAATTAGTAATTGATTTATAGTTAATACCAATCAATTGCCCGATGCAAAGTGCCAAATTCGATTTCTATGGAAAGTGTAACCTGCCGCATAAATGCATGTGTTTCTCCCTCACGCTGACCAACGGCCAATTCACACGGTTTCTAAATATCTTCAAATTATGCGAAAATATTGCGATCTTGTTATCTTCACAGTGTTTTTGGTACCCTTTTCCACCACTGCGATTTTAGAAGCTTCATAAATACCGCAAAGAGTAAACTCAAACTCAACCACGAGCTCCCCAACTGACTTCTCGCAATTCCCCGGGGGCTCCCCTCCTCGGAAATGCAGAAGTCTTCCGCAGACTTGGCGGTCACTAAACTACTAGATTCCATAAACGAAGTGCATTATGCAGGCCCTTTTCCATGCAATCGAGGCTTCCAGAAGCATAGAAAAGGTTGATATTTTCAGCAGAAAAGCAACGAAGAAACAATCGACACGTCGAATGCCACAAACATGTGCATGGTCACAACAGAAGAGCCATTTGAAGAAACCCAGAATGCACCCTACTGGCTGAACAACGGCATTCTTTTGGAGCCACTGGGCAGAGTGATAAAGTACTGGGTGAAGCCATGCATATGTAGCACGTAATATGCGAAAATTGCTCTGTGCGCTAGTTCAGCAGGCGGGACCGTGTCTCCCTGTGCTTCTTCCTTGGCTCACCCGGCGAATGCTGGGGCTCTCGCCTGCGACGGCGGAAAATCTCCTGAGCCCCATATGTGTGGGTACATGTGGATTATCCCTCTGCCACCGCCCGAGCTCCTTGCGGACGCCGCATCGATGCAGGAGCGCAACTTCTTCCGCCTCTTGTTGCGGAAGCCCTCTTTCAGGGTGAGCTCCTTCTTCAAGTTTTCAAGCACAGCCCTTCCAAGACGGGCGGACGCGTGGCGCCGGTCGAGAAACAGCACCTTCCTGGCGGCATGCATGTGAGCTTTAGTCATTGTGTTCGTGGCGGTGAGGATTTCAATCACCAGTTGCGGTGCAGATTATTTGTTGTGGCGGCTTCGGCCACCGGGCAGGCAGCAAGACGGCGTGGAGCGTGTCACCCACGTCCCATGTTCACGTTTGTAAATTGTATCAACAACTGAGAGTGTGCAACTTTCCACACGGCAATGTGGATGATGTGCTGAATTTCGTCCATTTTCGGGGATATGTCGTGTGTCCAATATTCCAGCAGCTGTTTGTGCTTTAAAAATTCCACTCATTTCCGTGGTATAGATTGTTTATTGGACTTTCTGACAGAAATGAGCATACGCCCAACATGGCA